ATATAATAACTCTGATCAGCTTTGATATTTTCCACTATGCCATCTGGGCGTCAGATTGTGACATGCTGATGCATTGATGATGGCACTGCTCCTACGCCATGGATCCACTCCCTGCCTAGGAGAAAATTATAATTAGGTTTCGCTGAGATGACCATGAACATCGTTGGTTGAACTATGGATCCCACTTTGAGTTCCAACTGTATCACTCCCATGGTGGTCCCAACTCCACCCTCATAGTTCGACATAACCATGTTATGGGGTTTGATGTCTTCATCTCCCTTGCCCATCTTTCTCAGTATGCATTGTGGGATTATATTGACTGTGGCTCCACAATCAACCAGAACCTTGTTTATGGTTGCTTCCCCTACTTTTCCCTGATGAACAATGGTTTGAGGTGATTCTTCATTGCCTCAATGGGGCGTTCGAAGAAAGCATTCTTCTCTTCGACATAACCGTTGTTCATAACATAATAACAAACTGGCCTATGTTTGGCTATCTCCTGTTCGACCTCCCAATCAGTCTCTTCGGCTTCGACTTGTTGGTCATACTCCCTAGGTAACATTGACACCATATTGACCATAATATCCAGTGTAGCGTCTGATCCAGAATCACATTCATCTTCTAATTCATTTTGTCCAGGCCATTTCAATCTTCTGGCCACTGGCTCTCTTTCCAAAGGATTTCTTAGTTTTCCCTTTCCTTTTCTTTGTGGCACATTAGTGTTTGTTTCTGGTTGGGGCCCTTGTGTAGCCTCTCTTTCGGCTTTTCGCCGTCTTTGATATCTCCTCCATTAAGAGCGTGTCATAGGGTTTTTTCCTTTGTAGTTGCTCGACACATGATCCACTTTGTTGGTTGTTGTTTGGAATTCCTCTCTATAGGCCAAGGAGGATCCTATTCGCACATTGAATGTTTGCCATTTTTTCTCGTTGGGCCTTTTCCTGTTTGCTGTTTTCAACCAAGTGTCCACAGGGACATTTGTTGGAGGCCTGGACGTTGGTGGCTTATACTTGGTTGATTAGCCCCTTTTGGTACCCTCTTATAGGATCATACCTCACCTCAGTATCCATGTTAGATTGGGCATTGGTGCCCCATTTCTTCTTTGCCGCATGCATACCTTGTATGTATTTAACAACTTTTTTTATCGAAGATGGAGCTGCATCTTGGGCACATCATGACTTCCAACTTATTTTTCTGGCATCTTTGCAGAAAGTATGCCAAATCTTCATCTTCTTTAGGAAATACAATTTTGTTGACTTCCTCTTGTCTTATGGCATCTTCTGAAGCCTTAGATTCAGATACTTCAACCATATTGATTTGCACATTGCTCTTACCAGCTATGTTCATCTTTTGCATCTTGGCTTCTAGGCCCTTCGTCGAACCTGTGACAGCAGCCAAGTAAGAACCTGTAGCAGTTCTTTTGTTTAAACCTTCAGTGGCCCCTTTATTTAGGCCTTCAGTAGCCTTTTTCTGTACCATCTCAACAACTTCTTTGCTAACATCTTCAGCGAAACTGCCAAAGACAGGTTTGTTGATGAAATTTGCTGAGACTTCGACCATGTTGATGCTTGAAGGTTCAACATAGTTGGCCTCAACTTGCAATGGGTTTGCGTCAATCTTCACGGGTGGCTTGTCAGCAAACGTAAGCCTTTCGTCTTTGATTGCGCCTTGAACGAGATCCCTGAAAAGAAAATATTGTGAGGTTTTATGACCCAAAAAATATGATATTTACAAAAACCTCTCTTTTTCCTTTGATCTAAAGGAGGCATTTTTGCCCCAGGGGGCACTATCATCTGGACATCTTTAACTAATAAGTTAAATATTTTGTCACATTTTATGACGTCGAAATTATATGATTTCTTTGGGAACCTATCACTATTCTTTTCAGTTTCAATAGGATTTTTTTTCCATTTGAGGGCGTTAATAATCTGCAAGACTACGGTGGCCCTTGCTTTAATTCTGCTAAATCGATCTTGCTCTTTTCGACAGTTAGAGGGTCATTAGATGTCTCTAGATCGTCATCATCCATTCGTCATACGCTACCCTTTATCTTCGATGATTCTTATTTGCCTTAGCTTTTTCAGCCTTAAGGCGTTCTACCTATCAAACTCTATCGGCTAATTGGGCCATATCTCTCAGGTATTGAGTATCTAATTTCTTCTTAATGGAATAATCTAGATCTCTTGCAGCCATTTCGACTAACTCATGTTCAGGCACTTGTGTAAAGCATCTAGCCTTGAGTAATCGAAATCTATTCAGATACTCATCAATTGGCTCAATGAACCTCCTTTTCGTACTAGCCAATTCTTTCAAACTTATTTTGGTTTGTCCCATATAGAACTGTTTGTGGAACAATCTCTCAAACTGATTCCAATTATGGATCAAATTGGCTGGGAGTATGGTAAACCAAGTGAAGGAATTTTTGGTCAAGGAACTTGGGAAATACTTCATCCTGAGATTCTCATTATTCGAAATTTCCCCACCCTCTATCAAATACCTTGCTACATGTTCGACAGTGGACTCTGTCGTATCCCCTAAAAATTTGGTGAACTTTGGAACTTTCCACCTAAGAGGTAATTCTGATTGCAAGATATAATCTGACAATGGAGATGTAAAGTTTGGCCTATGAAAGCCGATGTTGACTCCATTATGTGCCATGATTCTCTCGACCATGGCTGTCAAGTTATTATCTGGTGTATAGTTGTGGTGTCGAACCTGCTGTACTACTTCATCAACATTTTGGTTTCTATTTACCAAAACTATACCCTGTTCAACAGCTCTAGGGATTTGTGGAATAATCCTGAGTATTTCGACTCTAGGTTGTTTGATTTCCACTCTATGGTTTAACCTATCTGGCTGTGGATTTTGGTTAATGGTCATGTCATCCTCTAAGACTACACCTTGATTTATCAACTCTCTTTGGGATTGTCGAATAGGTTAGGGAACTCCAAAAAATTCAGCCACGTGCGTCATTTGTTGATTCGACTGGGTGGTATTTTGTATTAGAGGGTTAAGCACCGTACTCAAAGTTTGTGCCAACATTTGTACCATGTTATGGTTGCTTTCATCCATTTGTTGCCTCAAAATTATTGTAGAATCATTTGTGAGGTCTGGCATCGTATGGGATGTTCCTCCTAGGAATTGGTTCCTACCCAAATTTGCCATACCAGTTCTAGATCCATGCAATGGTGAAGATGCACTCACCAAAGGTTCTGAAAATATGGATGAAGCATTCATAAGGCTTGCCATTTAAGTAGTTGGCATGCCATAAGGTTGTTCTCGACCCATTCAAGCTGTTGAAAATCCTGGAGGGACATAGAGTCGAACCCCTAGATTTCCCCTTGGTGAGGGTGTTCCTGGTGGACCCCTAAGACCTACATAAGAAGGTATTGGTCTTGTTTGTGCAGTCTTCAACGCTGGTGTCGAACCAACTGTTGATGGCATAGGCTCATTAACTGTTGACATAACAGTATTTCTAATGCTAGAGATTGGTGGAGGCATTTCTCCACTACTAGACGGATTACCCATTTTACTATTTCTTCTCTTAGGTATGTATTCGTGGGTGGTTGTTTTGCCACTTCTTAATGACATATAACAAAATTATCTTATCAGAGTTTGTAAAACATGAAAACTTAGCAACGTCCCACCAGGTGTGCCATTTTGTTTACCGTAGAAATTTGTAAACAACCGCTGATCTTCCAAAATGAGTTATTTTGATGACTTGCAGGATTGATCAGATTGATCCTAGGACATATGCTAAGTTAGTTTGTAAGTTTAGTAAATTTAAGCGAAAAGGGTAAGAGTAGAAGCGAGATGCAGGCGAAAACTTGATGAAAGTGCAAGTAAAAAGTAAATAGAAAGGGGTTGAGAAGAGTTTAAGGATAAAGGTTAAAAAACGATAAAAAGTGCAAGTAAAGGCAAGATAGAGTAAATTTGCAGTAATGATAAAGTTTGCAAGGAAATGTAAATGGCAAGGAATGTAAAGGAATTGTAAAGACTTTGATTGAAATGAAAGATGGTGTTTCAAACATACATTCTCAATATCTTTTCTCTCACAGCGGGTACTTGGATATATTTGAGTGACTTGTACTATATGTTGAACATATAGATTTTTACACAAACTTCCTATATTTATACTAAAACTAAGTAACCATTGAGCAGTTTCCTCGTTCCAGGATGAAGACAAGTGTCCTCTGCATGTGCTTCAACCTCTATCTTCATGCCACGTTGCTTTCCTCAACTGCCAAGTGAATTGTCTTTCCCTCCTTTCTTCAGATTCAAAATTACTCGCCTACTGATACGAGAACCTTTAAGTCGAAGGCCACGAGAACCTCTCAGTCGAAGGCCACAAGGACCTCTTGATCGAAGACCAACTTTAACAGAAAATTTTCTAAGTGTTTTCTCATTCTTAACAAGGGAGGCTTCGACACAACCTTTTTGTTACAAGCCCTTCTGTCGAAGTGTTTCCAATTTAGATTTGTTCAATCTAATCTTTTGGCCAATAAGACTAATATGTTGTGGGTGTCGAATTTATGAGCTAACACACCCAAATACTCAACCATCCATTCAATTGCCTGAGCTCGTGGTACCCAAGAATGGTTGAGTAACCTCCCTCTGATAGGTAGGTGGAGCAGACAAGCCACGTCATCAAGGGTGATCGTCAACTCCCCAACAGAAAAATGGAAAGACGATGTCTCCTTGTACCATCTGTCGACAAATGCCCCATGCATGTCATAACTTATAGTAACATACCCAATACAACATAGTCCATCAAGTTTGGATCCATCAACAACATCATTGAATCAAGCCGCCCTAAGTTTAAATAATTCAAAGATTTTCCACGAGTGGTTCATAGACTTAATGTGCAACTGCTCCTGTAACAAAAAAAACTTCAATGTTAGTCGTTACAAAAAATACTTACGAGTAAATCGTTAAAATGAAAAAGTGAAAAAAGAGAAAGTAACCCCTTCATCCCAAACATGCCGAGCGACATGATTATTACACTATATCAAGAAGGAGGTGCCAGAAGGCCCTATAGGATAGTTGAGGTTCGCCTGCTCCATTGCTGCATGTAATCGGACAACCGATGTATCCTGAACAGGATCATCGGGTACCTCAACCTGTTCGGATACCTCCTCCTCAACTGGTATCTGGTCATGTGCATAGAAGGATGACGCTTGAGACAGACGATTCCTCGATACAACAGTGGAGCCTCCAAACACTTCCTCCTGCCGTATTCAATCCTATCCTTAAATCATGTTTTGATGTTCAACTGTCTCACATCGAGCAGAGACAGTCTGACTTGACCTGTCTTATCTTAATCGGTTGTTTGGACCTTGGTTGTCAACTATTTTCCTAAAAAAATGATAATGGGAAGGAAACGAAGTTTGAAAAAAAAAAAACTAATAAATTCCCTTTTATGAATGCGTGCGGTGTACGCGTCGACAGTTTCTTTTTTCCATTTCAGCGTTTGTAATCGTAATTGTAAGTGCAGAAGCAGAAGATAGTACCAATTCACCACCCAAACCCTACTAAACTAGGCGTCAAGATGCCGAAAAAGATGGGTGTCAATTCTAAGGCCGAGGTCGCAAGGGCTCGCAAAAGCGCCGTTGAAACGGAGAAAAAGGAACGGGAGACTCGAGAGAAGGAGGAGCAATACTGGCGAGAGGCTGAGAGTTCAAAGCCACGCGCCGCCAAGAAGAGAGAAGAAGAGGCTGATAAGAAGGCCGAGGCGGCGGCCAAGCGAGCGGAGGTGCGTCGATTGGCGGAACTGGAGGAGAAAGAGCTAGAGAAGATGATTAAAAAACCGGAAAAGAAGGCTAACAGAGTGTCGATCCCAGTTCCGAAGGTGACGGAGGCGGAGCTGAGGAAGCGGCGCGAGGAGGAGCAGGCTCTGGCGCAGAAGAAGGCGGCGGAAGCGAATAAGCGCTCGGCCGCGGAGGAAGAGTACGAGAGAGTGGTGCTTGTTTCGAACACGAATCGCGATGATTCGATAATCGAAGCTAGTACTCTTGACGAAGCCATCGCTCAGATGAGCATCGATAACAACTTACCCCTGGACAGGCATCCCGAGAAACGCCTCAAGGCTTCCTTCAAGGTATCATCATTTATCTCTCATTCTTCATTCTTTAACTCCTTAATGCAACCCTAATTTTGATTTCATTGATTTATCAGAACTTCTTAATGGAACCCTAATTTTGATTTCATTGATTTATCAGGCATTTGAAGAGGCAGAACTTCCGATATTGAAGCAAGAGAAACCAGGACTTACTTACACACAATACAAGGATATGATTTGGAAGCTTTGGAAGAAATCTCCTGATAATCCTCTTAATCAAGTCAGTCACCACCATCACAAACTCAATTATTTATTTGTGTTTGCATCTTACAAATTTGTTTTCTCTTAATTGACAGAATGTTGATTGATTGAATGAATGAAATGATCTACCGCGGCAGGCCTGTAACTGACAGCTTTCATTCGCCAGTTGGGTAGCATTTCCATCTCAAATTCATGGTTAAGTTGTCAATAACTCATTATAGGCTTCTTTGTTACCTTTCTTTTTGGTATCCATCTGTAAGCCGTTTATGAGTTTCAGTTTCTGTATATTATTACAAACTTTGTTGTCATGGGATTTCATTTTCTGTATATTATTACAAACTTTGTTGTCATGGGATTTCATTTCATGCTGCTCCTGCTACAACGAATAAGCTTTGAGGTTTTGTATGCACTCTTTCTTTTATCAACTGCTCCCAAATCTTATATACATTCAATATTCTTTTGAGGGCGGTCTTGTACACTGAGCATGATAGACTTGTTAATATGGTTGCCTATATCTATCATTAGTGGATATGTTTGATTTGATCTTGGAAAAACTTAAATGCAAGGTTTGTCTTATAGTGGATATGATAGCGCCATTAGGTGTGCTGTGGGTATCTTATCGTAGAAGACTTGGATGTAAGGATAAGTTCATCGCAAATCGAATTAACTCAAGGATAAGTTCATCGCAAATCGAATTAACTCAAGGATAAGTTCATCGCAAATCGAATTAACTCAACATACGGAAGTTGGAAAAAGCACACTGATTGTGTATGTGATAGTGTTTTAATGGAAATCAGCAGGTGGCATGCACTTCATAGTGTGAGTTCCCTCAACTTCCACCATTTTTATCTAGTGCATTTGACTTCTTAAGTTTAGACTGTTTTGTTGTAGCCTCACTGCTGTTTTGATACAAAACAAACTGAGGAATTTGAAGTAAAAGGAGGTAGAACATTGAAAATATTAAAAGTTTCCTATTTAATCTTCCAACTTTAGGTGTAGATGAGATATTTGCTGGGAAGAGTGGGGTCTGATGATATGCATAAATCCTATCTTTGATATATGAATTTTGTCTTAGTGTTAAGAATGGATAACTGTTAAGAGTGTGGTGGCATTCAGTACAGGCAAGGAAACTATTTATCTGTCATGGTTCAGTTGACCTTGTAGCCGTTGATTTAATGTATATAATATATTGAGTAGTTGAGAGATCAATGAAGGGATACCTGTTATGTAAGTAAAATTTTCAGGGTTTCTTTAATCGTAAATTGTGGATTTTTGTTATGATTAATAGTTATTGTCTTAGGGTTCTCCACAAAAGATCTTTGTGCACAACATATTTAACACTTCGATTGATATGTAGTGCACCATAACATCACTCTGTATTGGTTTTCACCATAAAATCAAAGAGATAGGTAACTATACAATTTAATAATTGATTTTTATTTATTTGGTAATATTTTTTTAAAATTAACTAATAATATATAAAGAGAATAATTTTTGTACACAGTTAGTGTAAAGTTTTTTTACACAATCAACGTAAAACTATTTTAGACTCATTTCTTTTCTCATATAAAATGAGAATGTAACCAAAAAAAAAAATGAAAAGGATAAAGCAAGAAAAATAAAAATAAAATAAAATAATGCGGTGAATTGGCAAAGTCAGTGAGATGATTAGGATGGGAGATGAATATGTGGCCAGGGTGAGAGCAGTGACGACTGATGAGGGAAAACTGAAGAAGCAGAAAGAAGATATGGTTATCCGTTCATTCCTTCATTAATTAATCAATTGGCATGGAAGGATTAGCGTTCCACTCCCACGCCTCCTCCGCCCAAAACACGCGGTACCTTTTCCTACTTCCAGTTCCACCTGCACTGGTAATTACTCACTCCTCTTCCATTAATTAATTACTAGTACTCCTACTCACTCAACATTACTAATGACTGTAATAATCAGGATTTATTTCTCTCAAACAACTACAACTATCTCCATGTCGTCGTTTCCCCTTTTGTACACCATCATCGCATTCCCAGCCTCAAGGCGAACAACTCACCGTGCCTGCAGCTGAGAATCATAATTCTGTGAGTGGAGATTCCATACGCCAAAGATTTCTGGATTTTTATGCTTCCCGTGGTCACAAGGTCCTTCCTAGTGCTTCTCTAGTCCTAGATGACCCCACTGTTCTCCCCACTATCGCTGGAATGCTTCAATTCAAACCCATCTTTCTTGGAAAGCTTCCTAGACAAGTCCCTCGTGCTACTACCGCACAAAGGTGCATTCGTACTATCAACAATGTTGGCCAAACCTCACGACATCATACCTTCTTTGAGATGCTTGGGAACTTCAGCTTTGGTGATTATTTTAAAACACAAGCTATTCAATGGGCATGGGACCTATCTACTGTTGAGTCAGTAACATCCCTTACTCTTATTTCCTATTCGCGCTTCTTTTGCTTTCTATTTTATTTTCATCTCTTTCATTTACTTTTAGGTTTGCTTTGCCTCCAGAGAGATTATGGATTAGTGTTTATCAACACGATGATGAAACTTTTCAGTTATGGTCTCAACAGGTTAGCTAAATTTGCCTATCCTCTTATTTCCTAACATCAAATTTCTTACATTTTCTTATAATTCAATTCTATGCTCTTCGTTTCTCTGCAGGTTGGTGTCCCCGTTGAGCGAATAAAGAGGTTGGGTGAAGATGACAATTTTTGGACCAGTGGAGCCACAGGTCCCAGCCACAGGTCCCAGCCACAGGTCCCTGCCACAGGTCCCTGCGGTCCATGCTCTGAAATTTGTTATGATTTTCATCCTAAGAGGGGATATGACGATGCCGTAAGTATGATATGGTTAGAATTTGAGTTATTCCAAATCACTTCAATGACAATGTTTTACCTTTTGTGGGCTGGGGATGGAGGCAGGATCTTAATGATGATACACGGTGTATAGAGTTCTACAATCTAGTATTTATGCAATACAACAAAAAAGATGATGGTTCTCTTGAGCCACTAAGGCAGATGAACATAGATACTGGCCCCGGTCTGGAGCGCGTGGCTCACATTCTTCAAAAGATATTGCATTCATTTGAACTGTCGTGAAAGTGTCCATTTGTAATTTTACAAGTGTTTCTAGGAAACTTGAACTAGAACTCTGGTATTCCTGCACCAGTTTTTCTTGCTTCCTACACACTTTATTAGAAAGCATAGAGGATAGTTTTCATTTTCACTGTAAGTGATTTTTCATTTCATTGAATTAGTTACAAGTTTGTTACAAGCTGTCTTATATAGACATGCTCACATGCAGTGTGACCTGTAATAGCAGGTTCACCTTGACTCAAACTGACACTTATCAGTAGTAATAGTATTTACTGTGGCTAAGCCTATTATACATATTCAATACCCCCCTCAAACTCATGTGGAGCTAGCTACCCTGAGTTTGTGCTTGAGTTCCAAAATTTTTGTAGAGGCCAGAGGTTTAGTGAGTGTGTTAGCAAGCTGTGCAGTGTCCGGAATGTGCTTAACCTGAATGAGTTTAACCATCACCCTTTCCCTAACAAAAAAGAGGTCAATTTTCATATGTTTGGTTCTGGAATGCAGAACTGGATTGTGAGCAAGAAGGACTACAGACCGATTGTCACAATATATAATAGGCACAATGGTGGTGACACAGCTCTTGAAGAAGTGTCTGAACCCGTAAAAGATTAGCTGTAGCCTGGGCTAAACTCCTGTATTCAGCCTCAATGCTAGATCTTGCAAACAACAGGATGTTTCTTGGACCACCAACTAATCAAGTTAGAGCCAAAGAAAATTTCAGCACCCGAGGTGCTTCTTGTGTCATCTGGGTTTGATGCCCAGTCTGCATCACAGAAAACCCGCAGAGAGAGAGAGTGACAGAGGTAGAGAGAGGAGAGAGCAACAAACCATGATTGAGGGTACCTTTTAGGTATCTTAAAATTCACTTGCCAGCGACCCAATTTATCTTAAAAGGATGTGCCATGTATTGGCACACCTTATTAACAACATAGGTGATATCAGGCCGCGTTATGGTGGCATATTGCAAGGCCCCAACTACATACGTGTACATGTAAGGGTCAGAGAGAGCAGGAGAATCTGTCTTGGTGAGTTTGCAGGTGGATTGCATAGGGTATTGACATAAGCAGCTTCAAGCATGTTAGTTCACTGCAGAAGATCTCTTAAGTACTTGGCCTGAGTAAGAAGCATAGACCCAGAGGAATCATGTTTGACTTCAATGCCATGGAAATAGTCAAGGGAGCCAAGTAACTTAAGTGAGAAGGCAACATTAAGTTTGGTGATAACATCCTGCAGAAGAGTAGGGGAGCTGCATGTGATGATGATATCATCAACATACACATGGAGAAAGGTAGTATGCCCTTGTGAGACCAATGTGAATAGGTATGGATCACATTTGCTAGCCTTGAAATCAAGTTTGAATAAAGCAGACTTTAGCCTTTCAAACCACTGTCTGGGAGCCTGCTTGAGGCCATAAAAGGCTTTGTTGAGTTTACAAACAAGAGAAGAATCAGAGTGCACAAACCCTAGAGGCAGTTCCATGAATACTTCTTCTTCAAGCAACCCAAGTTGCTGAATGGACCAACTGTGAGTGATGGCAATATTGAGTATAATCCGGATGGTTATATGTTTCACAACTGGGAAAAAAGTTTCATTGAAATCAAAGCCACGTCTTTGATGGAAGCCTTTGGCCACAAGTCTGGTCTTGAACCTGTTGACAGTACCATCACGATTCTCTTGTACTCTAAAAACCCATTTGCAACCTATGGTCTGCTTGTGATCAAGGAGAGGCACAAGGGACCAGGTTTCATTCTTGATTAGGGCATCATACCCAGCTGGCTGCCCTTCATCAACTAGTGCTTGTTTAGGATTTTTAGGTTCAATATGAGTGAGTAGCAACATAGGATGCAGTCTAAGTTGAGCAAATCCAGACTTAGCTCAGGTTTGCATAGAGTGTAAGTTCTCAAGTATGGATGCAACATGAATTGTCATAGGAGGTATAACTGTGATAGGTTCAGAGGAAGAACAAGGAGAGGATGCCACAAACTTAGGAGAAAACTGAGAAGAACTGGTAGAACCAGAAGAGGACCGAGTACCAGATGAAGAGGAATCTAATTATGGAGAAGTAACATTAGTAGGTGACACAGGAGAAGATTGGGGCTCAGAGGCAGAAGGTGAAGAAATTGGGTGAGAAACTGAAGGCAAAGAAGACGGCGTGAGAGACTTGGGGCTGAAGCTAAGAGGGGAAATAATTATGTCTTTGTTAGGTGAAGGTGAGGAGGAAGATAGAGGAAATAGTTCAGAGAAAGGAAATCTTGTTTCATTGAACAAAACATCCTTGGAGATGTAAAGCCTACCATTAGGAGCTAGACATCTGTACCCTTTATGAGAGGTAGAATAGTCAAGAAAGATACATTCTTGTGATCTGAACTCAAGCTTGTGAGTGTGATAGGGTATGAGCAAAGGAAAACAGGCACACCCAAACACTTTGAGGAATTTATGGTCAGGTTGTTGATTAAAGAGAAGAATGTAAGGGACTTAAAACTGCACAAATGAGGTAACCTATTTATGAGAAAAACCAGAGTAGAGAAAGCATAATCTCAGTAGGTTAAGGGTAACGAAGCTTGGCTTAACAAGGTGGGACCAATGTCCACAATGTGCCTGTGTTTTCTCTCAATCACTCCATTCTGATGATGAGTGTGAGGGCAGATTAGTCTGTGAATGACACCTAGATCATTAAGATAGTTAGTAAAGGGCCTAAACTCCCCACCCCAATCAGATTGAACCACTTTGATGGGGAGATTAAGCTGAAGTTCAACCATTGTTTTGAACTTCTTAAAATCACTAAGAGCTTGAGATTTATTCTTAAGAAGATTAAGCCAAGTAAACCTTGTAAAGGCATCAACAAAGGAGATATAGTAGGAGTACCCTGATGCAAAAGCACTGGGTGAGGGCCCCTACAAATCAGTATAGATTAATTCTAAAGGTTTGGTGTAAATAGTGTGTGAAGTGGAAGAAGGAAGCATGTGAGCTTACCCAATACAATGAGCAGAACAAAAAACATCATTGTATTTATTTTGAAAAAGGATATTACAACTCTGTAGTGCAAGTTTAAGGGAATGAACATGGGGGTTCCCTAATCTTAGGTGCCAAACATAAGGCAATGTGGAATGTACACCAACTGAATTAACACTAGGTACATTATTATTTAAGTTAGGTAAACAAGACAAACTAGAAGGCTGGGCAGACTTGGACAGATCAAGTTAGGGAAACTCATAAGTCCATCAAATCCCACATGTGCTTCATGCAGAACTGCATCAGAGACCTGGGATTTAACAAGGAACTTGTTAGCAGAAAATAGGAAATATACATTGTTGTCCTTAGAAAACTGGTGACACAGAGTAAATTTTTAGTTATATTGGGAACAAGCAGTAAATTGTGAAGAGTGAGGTGTGTGCTAGGTTGATAAGGTGAAGGAAAAGAGCTGACACCAGCATATGAAATATTCAAACCTTGACCATTGCCTATAAAGATTTGATCATGGCCTTCAAAAGGTGTTGGCTGCTGGATGTTCTGGGATCATTGGTGACAAGGAAGGAGGCGCCTGAATCAGGGAACCAGGAGGATGCAGGTAAGGTGTTAGCAACATAAGGGCTAGGTGGTGAAGTAAACATAGCTGCCTGCAGGCCTAGGAGATTTATACCACACATTAGGATGTCCTTGGTTGTAGAAATTTGGGGCACCATACCAGGGGGTCTAAGAGAAATTAGGATCACTATTGAACTGAGAACCACCTGTTGCAGACTGAAATGAGAATAGAACCTGTGCCAACATGCCAAAGCTGAGTGTCCAAATTTGGAGCAAACTTGACACTGAACAGTGTTGTTACCAGAAAACCTGCCACCACGACCTCTACAAATCGACCACCATGATTTGCTCTGCCACCACGAAAGGAATTGTAGTCAGATTCTACTTGAGAATTCTGACCTGACTGAGTTGAAGAAAAATTAGTGCTCAGGGCCTCTGAGAATGCTCCACTGTTGCAGATTGAGAAGGCACATGCGTTAGGTTGAGATAAACAAGACCAGGAACTGATTGTTTCTTGAACTTAGCAAGCCGAAGTTCATGAGCAAGAAGAAAAATCTCCACCTCATCAATGTCTATAACTCCAAATTTACTCTTTACAACAGACACTACCGGTGCATATTCAGCTGTCAGTTCTTCAAGAATAACATCAATATGGTGAGAGGTGTGAATAGGATCTCCAATGGACGCCAACACATCAACATTGGTGCGAATTTTGAAAAGGTAATCCTGAACAGGGAGAGAATCAAGTGTAATAGCTCTTAACTCAACACGAAGATGACGAGCACACACACATGTTTGCTTCTGGAAGTAGGAAAAGAACCGATCCCACAGTTCATGAGCATGAGAAAATCCGAGAACGTGTGAAAGGATTTTACTCAATAACGTGGACTGAAGCCACAAAAGCAACATCTGATCTTTCTGAATCCACATGGAGTATGCCAGATTCACTGTACCGGTACGACGAGCTTCATCGTCGAGAAATTGTGGCGGAACACGAGTACACACCACAAGATCGGTGAGATCGTGTGCTTTGATGTACGGTTCTACTTGCTGACGCCATAGATAAAAGTTCTTTTCATCCAGTTTCTGCGCTATCGCGAAAAATGTAGACGACGCGAATCATCTGCAGTGTGTGACACTGCCGCCGGAGAAGATACCGGACCAGAGGACGGAGACGTGACTGAGGATGGAGTTCCCGCCATGGATCGATCTCGCTAGCTGATACCATATTAGAAAGCATAGAGGATAGTTTTCAATTTTCATTCACTGTAATTTGATTTTTCATTTCATTTAGTTACAAGTTTGTTACAAGTTGTCTTATATAGACATGCAGCGTGACCTGCAATAGCAGGTTCACCTTGACTCAAACTGACACTTGTCAGTAGTAATAGATCGACGTGACTGAGGATGGAGTTCCCGCCATGAATCGATCTCGCTAGCTGATACCATATTAGAAAGCATAGAGGATAGTTTTCAATTTTCATTCACTGTAATTTGATTTTTCATTTCATTTAGTTACAAGTTTGTTACAAGTTGTCTTATATAGACATGCAGCGTGACCTGCAATAGCAGGTTCACCTTGACTCAAACTGACACTTGTCAGTAGTAATAGATCTACCGTGGCTAAGCCTATTATACGTTCAATACACTTGCATGTTGAAAAAAAACCCAAACTGACACTTGTCAGTAGTAATAGTATATATTGTGGCTAAGCCTATTTACATTCAATACACTTGCATGTTGAAAAAAAATCGGGCAAGGAAAAAACTGTGAGTGAAACATTATTCACACTACTATCATTTTCATTTACTCCTCAAGTACTTTTAATATTTATTAAGTGCTCACTGCAGGTTCCAAACAACTATGAAACTGACTTGATTCTCCCCATTATAGAGAAGGCATCTGAATTAGCAAATGTTTCTTATGGAATTTCTGATGATCAGACCAAGAGATATCTGAAAGTAAGTATGACTATCTTCCTACAAGTTGCAGTTGAATTTTAAATAGTTTTGTTTCAATCCGTCTTTCTGATTATTTTTAGTGTATGTTATTTTTTCCCTTTAGATTGTAGGAGATCACATGCGTGCAATTGTGTTTCTCATCTCTGATGGCGTTATCCCATCAAATGTTGGGAGAGGTTATGTTGTTCGACGACTTATCAGAAGGGTTGTTCACACAAGCAGGTTGCTTGGTATAAAAGGTGATGGTAGAGGAGACCTTGAAGGAGCATTTTTACCTATTATTAACGAGAAAATAGTAGAATTAAGTACACGATTTGAAGAACAGAGCACCCCGTATTCTTGAGGAGTTGAAGAGAGAAGAGCTTCGATTTGTTCAGACGCTAGAAAGAGGAGAAAAGTTGCTTGAGGAGAAGCTCGCTGATGCTATATCAAGTGCTGAAAGAAATAGAACTGTACCTTGCTTGGCTGGTGAAGATGTGTTTATTTTGTACTGACACTTGTGATTTTCCAATGGAAATAACAAAAGAAGTGGCTGAACAACGTGGTGTGAGTATTGACACGAATGGTTTTGACATTGAGATGGAGAAGCAAAGGCGGCAGTCTCAAGCCACATGCAATACTGTCAAGCTTGCCATTGGAAGTGGGACAACTATGACATTGTACCTGACACGGAATTTATTAGATATGATAGTCTTTATTGTAAAGCAATCATAGCAAGCCTAGTTGTCTTATTTTGAATTTGTCCTACTTCGACGATCATAATTTCAAGATTTAAAATAGAAGAAATATTTAATTAAAGATGGTACAACAGTATCTGATGACTCATCTTTATTCAAGACTAGGCGGTGTATTTCAATTCAGGAGAGTGAGGCTTTTTAATTTAGAAAGACTCATATACCTATTCACAGAGCATGTTGACCAATGGTCCATGCGATTCGAAAATGGAAAATTATTTAAATAACTATTGAGTTTTTAATTATTAATTGGTTGTTATTAATAAAGAAGAGGAGGTATAATTATGAATTATAGGTCCACTATACTTCTTTAGTTGGTTTTTTTTTTTCTCTTCCATTTTTTGATCCAAGTAGCAAAATAGTAGGGGTGTAATTACTAATTATAGGCCTATTAGGACGTTTTTGTTATTTGTTGGTTAGGAGTTTTGTTTCTTAGAATTCGTTGGATCAAGTTAATGTTGGGCTCAATTTGTGACAAAGAGGCTCAATTCAGATTATGGAAGTGAAATATTAAGTTAGGCCCAACTAACATTTTTGTTGAAACAATTTTTGTTTATTAGATATTGAGTTTTAAAATTATTTATTGAAGATTATTTGAAAAAAGACTGTTTTGAAAGACAATTGGGCCTAGTGATATTGAGAACCTTTTCTTGCTGTATTAGAAGATTAAATACGTTGGACTGGTCAATTACAATGCAAAGCCCAATTGAATTCAAAAATGGTTTCTTGCTGTAAGAAAATTTTTTGAGTTGGGATGAACGAAAAAATAGTAATGCAGGCCCATGTTTCCTTAACAATAACTGTACAAATCAACCAAAAATCACGATTGATTTTGTTTCAATAAATAATCACTGTAGAAATCCAAATCAGATTTAAAACACATTGTTACTGCAAATCAAATCTCTACTGAAATAAATTTTAATGCATAATCTTCTGTGAATCAAAATCTAAAATAATACAAAATCAATTGCGATTACAGTAAATAAAATCAAATATATATCACAAATAAATCCTCAAGCATCTAACCGTAACAGAATTGACATAATCAATTACAACAATAACAAATCAGCCAATTGCAGAAACATTAAATCCCTAATTGTCTCTAATTTCTAAATCTAAGGCAAAATTGTAACAAAAAACCCTAAATGCTAAACAGTATAAATACAAGGGGGAATTCAATACAAAGGGGGAGGATGGCAAGGCCGGATTTGACAGAAGGCTAAATACAGTAGAAAAAGGGATGGAAGAAGAAAAATACGAGGAGGATTCAGAGAACAAAGAAGAATTGAAGAAGAACAGAAAGGAGTCTTGATACCATTCCCTTTGAAGATCAACGAAGAGGATGATTAGGGTTTCAACATCTGAAACCCTAATCGTCGTTGCTGCCGCGCTGGTGTTGTCCTTTCTACCATCTTCAACATCTCTACCGCCGTCATCATCATCCTCTAATCTCTAGCCGCCACCGTCGCCGCCGCTAGCCGCTAACACCACCATCATCAACTTTACCGCGCCGCTGTCATACTCGCCAGAATCTGCAAGAAAAAAAATAAGGGAATCAGAAACGAGACTCGAAGCACTGTGAACACGGACTCGCGGAAGGGTAAACAAAAACAACTCAGTTTTCTTTATTGTTGATTTTGATTGAGGGTTATGGGGATGAGTTACTAGCGCTGCCGCCGGGAGAGGATGTAGATCTAGGGTTTGTAGAGAAGAAGATGAAGGGAAGGGTTTGCTTCACGTGATAGAGAGGAAGTTGTTCTTACTGTAAGAGAAAATGAGTGACAATAATGTAAAAACAAGTTATGTTCTGTTTGGATTCAATACATGCGCGTTTACAGTAATTAGCATGCGCCTTCGTTTCTATCCCTTAGATCATCAGTGGATGGCCGTGAGGCCAAGCTCACAGTAACTCCCATACTCTCTCACACACACTATCCACCGGACCTATCAATTTGTCAATGGGCCTAAGCCTACTGTTTCTCACACCCCCTTCTCACCCAATTACTGAAGCAAAGTCAGCGTTACACTCCCCTGTCTGAACTATTTTGGGCCTAACTCAAGCTCCTTTCAGCACCCCTCTCTTTTTACTCTATAACTAATAATACACCCCCTAATAATTATTTATATTTTTTATAATTATTTTAATTATATTTTCTTATTATTATTATTATTATATTATATTTTTATAATAATTATAATAATAATAATAATTATTATTATTAATTTTTATATATTATTAATTATTATATGTAAATGTTATTATTATTTATATATTATTATATAAATGATTTTTAATTAAAAAGCTCATGAACATTATTTTCTATTATTGCATTAATATATTTTTTGTCATGCATTAATAAAGATATTTTCGTAGTTAATACGATTAAAAAATACGCAACAAATCTCAAATTATTTTTCGCAATCAACTAAGTCAATGAAATGATTTTGCAAAAAGGTTTCAAACAGATTTTGGGTTACCGCACATTTAGTCAAAATTTTCGCAATCATTATTCTCGGCCAAGTGCGAGGTGATTCAAAATACGTTTGCAACCCCTAAAAAACACCAACCCCATACGAACTACAAATTGGGACTTTGATTCCTCATAAGAGGATACGTAGGCATACGATCAAAAATCGTAGCGAGTTCTCCTATAAAAAGAATTTAAACCATATTTCCCTCCAACTCAAACATAAAACCTAGTATCCTTGTAAACAAGGTAGATGAAAGGTGTCTAACCCATTCCTTTCGTTTAAAGAAGTCCGAAACCTGGAATCTCTGTCTACGAATTAGGGTTTTCTATTAGATGCCCTTCCTTAGGATAAAAACTAATAGTGGCAACTCTGTATTTAAAACCACTCACAACACTAGTGGTAAATGGTGATCCAGCTGTACGCATAAGTGAAGGGAGTAATGTAGAAATATTGCTGAACAAGACTCCATTTTATGCTGAATCTGGAGGAAAAATTGGAGATCATGGTTTTCCATATATTTCAGAGGGTGAGAATCAACCTAAAGCTGTTGTGGAGATAATTGATGTACAAAAGTCTTTTGGTAATATATTTGTTCACAAGGGCACAATCAATAAGGGTGTTGTAGAGATTGGCAAACAAGTGGAGGCAGCAGTAAATGTTAAGTTGAGGCAACGAGCTCAGGTACAAAAATTATGGACTGACTCATTTTTGTTTGGTGAATCTTCTGTCAGCAATAAAATTTGATAAAGACAAATTCTTGCATCATTGTAGTCATGCATATTTTTAAAATCCAACCTTAAAAGTTGTTCAAGATTACAGCGAATGTAATGTAATTGGTGCTTTGCAGGTTCATCATACTGCTACTCATTTACTACAAGCTGCACTTAAAAAAGTTATTGGTCGAGAGACCTCTCAAGCTGGTTCTTTGGTGGCTTTTGATCGTCTCAGGTTTGATTTCAACTTCCACCGTCCACTTCTTGACAACGAGCTTATAGACATTGAATTGATAATAAACAGATGGGTTGAGGATGCGATTCTCCTTCAGACCAAAGTGATGCCCATTGCTGATGCAAAAAGAGAAGGAGCAATTGCAATGTTTGGAGAAAAGTATGGTGAAGAGGTTGGATTTACTATAAACACTTTTGATATTTAACTTTGAAATTATTTTAGCTTGCTTCTGTTTTGGTAGTTCTAAGTATTTAGGTCACACACACACAAAGTGTGTACCTCATAAGAGATAAGAACTTTGACCTTCAGGGATGGTTTGCAAGTAATTTTCAGGAATTATCATGTCTTCAGATCCAAATTCTGTCATCAGTACTACCATTAATAGATTTCAGTTACATTGACATTTCAGATGCGCCAATAGTTATCCCTCTCCATGTCACGTGCACTAGCATCCATTCATGGACCACAGTAGTAGGAGAACGTGTTGAGAATGGAATCAAAAGCGGTAAAATTCAAGTGGATACATCTTCGAATACTGTGAAGAAGTCTTATAATGGTAAGAAAGAATCCAATAATGTGTACGTACAGAAGGGTCGTAGTAAGAGTAACCACAACCAATCTGTGGGGGCAGTTCTGATCTCTAATCCCGCGCCAGTACCACAACAAGAACAACATAGTAATCAGCGTAGGCAGGATGCACCCAGGAGACAGTTCACAAGAATCAACATGCCGTTGTCTCAAGCATTGTGTGATACGGTGGGAGAACTGACTTGAGTTTTGCGTTTGTATTCGCACTTGTTCGGTTGAGCAAGAGTCGCCACCGACTTTTTATTTTATCCTAAAGGAAAGGTTAAAAAGCACAGCAAAAACCTTTTGAGATATTTCGTGGGTTCGGGGGGTAGATTATGAAAAGGGAAGGTGTTAGCACCATTTTCATCCATGGTTATCCATGGGCTCTTAGTTACTTGGTTTTTTTAGATCACTTGCCTTGATTGCTTGAAATTGTGGTATGTGTGTGTGTTTTGAAAATGTTTTTGAAATAGACGCCTTTGTTTCGGCAACCAATGTAATTGACTCGTGTTTGAGTGTTTTACAAAAGTGTGTATCTTTTCGAAAAGAATGTTTTCAAATGTTTTTGAGAGTTTGTTTTGAAGTTGTTTGTGGAATGTGATTTTTGAAAAGGAGGCAAGTGTTTTTTTTTTTGCAAGTTGATCTCAAGTAGCTAAGAGTTTTGTCTACCCCTATCGTACTCAAAGGTTTTCTCTATGCTTTCAACCCCTTTTAACAATTTTGTTCCACCATTGAATTTGGTGGACAATCTTGCATTTAGGAAGTTAAACGGGACGGGCACGGGTCATCGTATGGACCATGAATGCAATGGTGCCAAGTGTCTTTGGCAATTTGCTTAAAGGGACTTGATCATTTTGATAGGCGACTTTCGAAAGCGTCATCGAGGGACTTATGATCATTTGAATTTGTTTTTGCCAAAGAAACTCGACGTGCAAGCATAGCCCATTTTGGAAGGCAACATGTGGGATTACCCTAGGGGGTGCAAGTGTGATTGTGTATTGATTTCATGCATTTGTCTTTGTATTAGGTTATCTAGCGTTCGATTTTATGTACATACAAACCCTAGGTCTAACCATGGTATAATTCGAAAGCGGTAAATTGCGGGAATTTTAAAGTCTACGCTATTACAAATGGTATCCGGGAGTGGGGGTACAAATTCACAAATGGGGATGAGACTTTAAATAATTACAACCAAATTGAATCGCAATCAAATATAATCAAGGTATAGCAAAGTATAGCAAATGTATAATGCATCAAATGTAAAATGTATTGTGTAGGTGCTAGTGTAAGTGTATTTTATTTACAAGGTGAGGAATGTTTAACTTAATGAATTATCAAGTATCTTATTTGTCAAGTATTATTATCTTTTGTTAATATGTACAAAAAGGTATTTTAAAAGAAAGAAAAAAATGTTTTTAAATTCTACTCTTTATGGTGTTAAGATAAAAATATATTAATTAATTATGTACAAAGAAAGTATTCTTTAGAAACAAAAGAAAAATATTATCCTAAAAAAAATTAATATTCCAAGTATAAAAATTTAAAGAAAGTGTAAGTTTAGTTGTAAAGAAAAAAATTATTTTTATTAGTTTCTATATAAAATTTAATCATGATATATATATATATATATATATATATATATATATATATATATATATATATATATATATATATATATATATATATATATATATATATATATATATATATATATATATATAAGAGTATTGTTAGTGTAAAAATAAAACAAAATTAATATTAAGAAAGTTATAAAAAAATGTGGTTAATTAATGTAAAATATATTAGTTAAAGCCATAAAAGGATAATAAAAGATGTTAGTAAAAGAAATGAATGGGCTTTTGATTTTCTTAGGGCCCAAACCAAGAGTGTTCAGAAGCAAGATGGGGGGTATACGCTGGCTTTAGGAATGAAACGGGTTAGGCCCAATTTATTTGAAACAAGGTTTTTAGGGTTTGATGACTTTTGTTTCATTTGGGACATGGCTTAGGCTTGACATGCAGAAGCGCCGTTTGTTCATCTTCGTCTTCGTTCATCTTTCTCATGCCCAAACGTTTCTGAATCTCCTTCGCCCAAGCCACCAACGCCATCATCACCTCCTCTCCATGGTTAAGCACGTGATGGTTCGTTCAAGGTTGAATTTCGTTTTTTAATCTCTTTCTTTTGTTTGAGGTGCGAAGAGAAGGATAAAAAAGGTTACCTTCGTTGGAGGAGGTGGTTAGGAGGCGTTTGGAGGGCTTTTGACGGCAGAGACGATGCTGAACTGGGTGCTAGCTTTGATTCCTGGTTTGTGTATTCTTTTGCCTTTTTTGTTGCCTTGATGATGATGATGAACTGAACCACTTCGATATTTTTCTCTTCTTCTCTCTTTGCTGCCTTGGTGATGATGATGAACTGAACCACTTTTATATTTTTCTCTTCTTCTCTCTGTGCTGCCTTAGTGATGATGATGAACTGAACCACTTTTGTATTTTTCTCTTCTTCTCTCTGTGCTGCCTTAATGCCTCGCCTTGTGTGCTTCTGTTTGCTTCTTGCTTTTGAGTGGCCTGTTTGATTTGCCTATGAGGAAACTTTTCCGAGGCTTTGTGTTGCCTTGGATAATGTTGGTGTTGAGATTCCTTTCTCTTCTTCTTGTTGGCTTATATGTATGCTTCAGTGTGCTTGGTATGTTGGTTATTGATGCTGTATGCTTGAATACTGGTTTTGGCCTGGTTTTCGGGTTGATGATGATTGGTGAGTTTCTGTTGGATAGGTTAAACAGGTTTAATGGTTTGTTTGTTTTGGATATGGCTTTGGCTTGATAGGTTTGAGCTTGCCGGTTTTTGGCCTTGAATGGTTATTGCTTAATTGGTTTGGTGGTTAAGGCTTTATGTTGTTAGATGGTTAAGGTTGGACATGTTTGATGGCTTGAGGGGCCTTAATGGGTTATTTGTGCTGTTTGGGATTTTGTTTCAGCAGGTTTTGGCCTTACTGGTTTTTGGACATCACAGGTTTGGCTTTGAATGGTTATTGAGCTTGAAAGGGCTTAGGCTTACCAGTCTGAAGCGTGGCTTTGATGTTTTTGGATATATTGTTTTTTTGTTCTTTTGTATGCTTGGCTTATGCAGGTTCAAAGTATGTTCTAAGCTTGGTTAAATGGTTTATGTTGCAGTGAACTGGTTTTTTAGGCTTGGGAGCTTATGTTCTCAGTTTTTTGTTTGGTTTGTGATCTATATCCTTTTTCTCTTGGACTGTGTTGCTTTTCATATATGCTTAGGCTCTTTTGTTTTGGCGCCCATGCTTTTGAATGTCTCAGGTTTTGGTATCTTTTCTTTGGTTAAGCTGCTGGGCAGGTTTGCAGGGTTTTAAAATGGAAAGATAATTCTGTTACTCTTTGTGGACAGTTTTGTTTGCATGCTAATTCCTTCATACTTCTGCCTTCTGCTTCACTGTTTTATTGCAGTTTCTGTGTTTATATATTTTTTATGCCTAAAGCCAAAAAACCAGTTAGCCTACACTTCTCCTCTCTTCTTCTCTCTCTCCAATATTTAAGCATATTATATTGCTTAACATATGTTAATTCTGAAAAAGCACATTGGCCTGGAAATGATGAACTGAATTTGCTTGCAATAGTAGCCTAACTCTGCATATTTTGTCTTCTTCTTTCCATGCTTTGTGCTTCTTGACAACATTGATGATACTTTTGTGTTTTGACATCCTTTGGAAAACTTTGACATTGGAACTGCGTTTTGAAAATTAAACATGCTTTAGGCCATTCAGTTTGTAGCTTGAACTTGGTTATTTGCATATGCTGTCCTTGAACTGTGCAGTTTTGACAATTTTGAAATGTGCAATTTTTAACTTGTGCATTCATTTTTTTAATTTGCAAATATTTTTCATCCCTCTTTGTGAACCGGGAGAATCCCGTGATTTGCAGAGAGGGTTAACTGATCCCGACCATTTGCTTTTAATGATGAACCCAAAACTTTAATTGTCTGCTTTTAATTATTTATCTGCTTCTAACTTTTCTTCTTTTCTTTTGCAGATAAAAATTGAATGGAGAGGATTTAGTAACATATGAAGAATGAAGAATTGAAGATTTAGAAAAAATTAGGATAGTCTTATTTTAAATTTAATTATTGTAACTATTATTATTATAAATACCGTGTAAATGAATACTTGTATTTACATAATAATTTGTAACAAATATTTAAAGATGAAATAGAAATTCTTTTTATCCAATTAATTCTTTTTATCCTTAATTCTTTTTATCCTTTTCAATTATTTATTTTATTATTTATAACTCTTTAAGTTATAATAATTGAAAATAAATTTCAATCATTTAAACTCAGAATAATAAACAATTAAATAAACAATGTGATTTTATGACAAACCTGTCGCTGCAATTATCCAAAGCAACGCATAATTTCAAACCAAGCGACAGTTAATTAAACAAAACGTCCATCTGCCCCTTTTCACTGATTAAATCCAGCAAACACAAATTCAATTCCAGTGTCTCTTTTCATTGATTTAGTCAAACCCTGCGAGTTTAAACCAAATGTTTCAATCCACATTTCAGAATAGCTTGACAAACACCGTAGAATTAAATCTTTCTGAAGAACCGCGCATAAAACCCTA